GTTGCTGTAATTGATGTTGTTGCTGATAATATTGCACAGCGTATTGCGCATACGCTGAAGGCGTATATGAATTACTGGCAACTGCGGCACCCGCAGATAAAGCTTGCGCAGAAGGCATGGCACACCTTGGTATAATAGCCGAACCCATAACGCCCGCTGTGCTACCGCAACTCATATAAGGTGGTGTCAGCGAATTTGAGTACGGGTTTGTGGTCGGATAATATGGATTACGAGCGAGATTTGAGGACAGCGGAGGTGTGTAATACAGAGCAGAGGATGTGCTAGGTTGCTGGTAATATACGTCATTTATTGGTGACGATGAGACTATAGGGGAGGATGTGGGAAACTGTGGGTTGGCTATGGATAAAGGTGATGAACGAAAATTTGCGCTTGATGTTGAGGCAGTCGAAGGGGTCCATACGGGATATTCGAATCGTGTGGTAGCACTGGTCGAATATGCGGACGACGTTGGTATGGATAGCGCAGACGATGACGGTGAATACATTCGAGACATCGCACGCAAATTAAACTCTTAAACCCAAATACAGCAAGCAAGCTCTGTACAGTGCTATCAATATATTGTTCTATTTATCACAATTAGCAGCAAGAATAAATAAATTCACGAATATCAATAGTATGTATATACACGTAGGCAAGAGTGGTATTGAGGTGTTGAGCAATGCAAAAATGTTTGGTCAACTTGTGGATGGCGTCTGCGTTGAACGGATGTTCAGACGGAGTTTTGTCGATTTCGTTGTCGGACGGTATGGTAGGTAGGTTCCAATCAACGACGGACGATGAAGGGAAATCCGTTTGAGGCAACAAATATGGCGATTGGCAAGGCAAGAAGAAAGAGGAGAGGGAGGGAAGGAGCACAATGAGATCGTTCGAAAAGAACCACGACGATGATGCGGTCAGTATTCAGATACACCAGTTGGATATTGATTTGGAGGATCACACCTTATCAGAGGTTATGATGATATTGTGTCACCCACTATTCAAACTGTAACAATATTGTGCTTCTGGATGAGTGATTCCGAAAAGCATACGCCGTCTCAGTGAATTCAAACGATGACGATTATTCACTGATTTATCACCACGAGCAGATGAGACTTCTCGAATAAAAATGATACAATCAGCAATCAAAATAATAACGTTTTTGCTCAAGTGTACAATAAAAAATCGCCGAGTGCTCGCAATAGCAACAATGAAAATAATAATAGTAAGGATGATGACGACAAAAGTCGTAATAAATGATTTATGATGTGTGTGGTATTGAGAATAGAGCTGGATAATTATGAGTAACAATTGATCTAATAAAACTAACAAAGACATCAGTCTTTAATTACAGTCGTACATCAGCAGTTAAGTTCTTCGCATCCAGTAACAACACCTCATTCAAGCAAGCAGCATTTCTCCTGACAGCAGTGATAATAAGTTGACCTAATTAGGTAGTGCACTGCCGAGCATAGTTCATCGGAAGGATCTTTTTTTGAGTGTGATGATCGGATTAGAAGTTTGGTTATTCGAATGAAGAGCAAGCAGTAAATGAGTAACTGATGCTGATGATGAGAACATTAGCAAAGCTAATGCTGGCGACAGTGATCACTGTTCATAGTTTCAGTGAATGTTTCCGACTCTGATTGATGAAATGAATGAAAATGTTTCTAATTCTATTGTTCTTATTTCTGCTCTTTTTGTTGTTGTTATGGAATGAATGAATAAATTATGAAATGAGTGTATATGTTTCAAATAAATATGTGCGTATACGCAAAAGATAGCAGTAATAATAATAAATAATATAAGACGAATAAAAATAATATTTTAATACGATTAGAGACTAGCACTGCGAACCAACTCTGAAGAGTGCAAGTAATGAAGAGTCAGTCAGTCGCGCAAATAATACGATCTTGAACGAGCAGCAAACAGAATCGAGAAAGGAACGGCAACGGAAAGTATGCAGTGTAAGTTTTTCTCCTTCTTCTTGTTCCAGTTGCTGCTGTCTCTGAAGGAGATACGAGCGAGATAGATAGACAGATAGTCAGTTGATAGCAACAGCAACAGCAGCAGCAGCAGTTTAGCTTGATTGTTTGGTTCAGTTTGATGCTTTACTGGTGAATGGAAATGAAAGAAATTTTGTTAAGGAACATATATTCATCTAGTGAATTCAGCCAACCGTCCGTGCATCTATCTATCCACATACAAAGAACATCACATAATACTGCTGCTGCTGTATTCAGTCAATCATTCACGTTCTATGCATTTTACTGACGTTTTTCATTCATTCGTTCGTTTGCTACTGACGACTGCTGCTGTTCATTCGCTCTTGTTGTTATAAAGTATTGCTGGCTGCCTGACTGGCTGAACGAATGCTGCTCGCTCGCTTGGTTGGTTGGTTGGTTGGTTCACTCGTGCTTTCAGATAACACAGCAGATAGCACAAATTTTAAATACACTTCCATTCACTTCTATCACATTGACAACGTGAACACCGAACAGTCGACATAACATACACATTTATTTCACAGACATTCACCTATAAATTCATTATCTAATAATGTATCACAAATGAAACTAATATACTTCTTATTATGTGAGAACGCTGCGAATACTTTTAATATCATACCAGCAGTAGCAGTCATATCAGCACTACTTGATACTCTTCCATTCTTTTATCACTCAAGCACTGTGATAACGACTCAGTACTCTCATACTCGGAAATTATTGCTGCTCAATTCCTAACTAAAACTTTAGTCTGTTGATGCTGTGTGCTGTTGCTGTGCTCTGTTGATTCAGTGCTTTCCAGTGATTGCTCAGCAGCAGATCGGCTGATAGGCAGTGTTAGTTGCAGTTGATAGTTGAGCTCCCTCCTCTGTACTCTCCGTAAACTTGCCTTCCCTTGCAATCGACAGAGCAAAACCGAACCGCGCTCTTAATATCACTTGATACTGAATAGTTGATTGCTGCTGCTGCCACAGCAGCATCCATTCGAACAATACTCTGCTGTTTCAAACAAACCAACATTTTGATGAGGATGTGTGCAAGTGAACGCTATATGTTCTGCTTTTGACGTTTTAGGCTTGAGTGATACGTCGTTTTCTATTTAATACTCTTAATACTGGTTGGTATTGCCAGTATCCAACTTTGACATTTCCTATTGCATCCTTCTAGTTGATCGAAATGAAATATCAGTTTGACATGAACACTCACAACTTGTAACCAAATTGTAGTGAGGAGGAGCACTATGACATTGGTGCGTCACTGAGTTGCTTGAATGAAAAACTTGTGGTTAGGCGAGTGCAGATTGAAGAAAAATGATTCGTATTCATGTTTGATGAAATGACAAGGCAAAATGAACACAGCCATGTGCATTGTCCTTCTGTTCCATTCCCTTTGGTTCATTCAAGTGATGGGATGATGGCATGACTGGGTCCACAGTCGGTTAAAGGCTGCTTTGTTGGGATGGATGGATGGATGACTGCTTCGGGTATCTATCTATCCGCCTGCACAACGTCAGCAGCAGCAGCAGCAGCGAATACCGTGGCTGTTGTCATATGAAGAATTGTAATTGTTGTTTACGTATTCGATTTTAAAGATGAAAAAGAATGATGGAACGCCATCACGTTCCACTGTAGGACGGAACGGAATGATTCATGTGTCAAACAATGCAGAATAGAAGGAGAGTACGTATACGTTTGACGAGAAATTGCTGCGATTGTGAGAGAAGCAGAAACATCATATTCAAGTTGCGTGATGATCGGATGGATGGATGGATGGATGATGAACGTTGGTTGATTGGTGACGGCGCTTCGAAAACATCATACAAAATAACAGTGCATCTCGTTCCGTCTATTGAAACATATATTTGAGTGTTTAAAATTTCGCAATTTCCATTTGCAGTTCTGTGAATAGTGACTTTCAAATGTAGTTTTTTTGTCAGGAAGAGGACAGTGAAAAGGGCAAAGAATAAAACTCGGGGAAAAATCCCGAGAAGAAATATATTTAAAAAAGGAAGAATGGCTGCATAACAAAAAGGACGAGGAGTGCACATGAATGGAAGAAATCAGTACATGTTGAGGATGTAAAAAAGTGGGACAGAGGGAAAGGCACAGAATCAAAGGTTAAAATTTAGAAAATCAACTCGATTTTAGGTAAACAATGAATATTATGTCCTTTTTGGATGGTTTATTTTCAGGTGGTTGTTCGGTTGCTTTGATCTGTCTAGAAATGAAAACAAAGGAATGAAATGAAATCAAATTCGACGTAGTACAATATGATGTGATAGATAAGCATATGCTGTTTGTTCTACGTCTTTTCACTGATCAAATCGGACTCACTGACGAAAAACAATGGTGATTTCATTGATACCTTGAAGATAAAATGTGCATGGTAGAGCTACTTGTGATAAAATTTGATGTCATACGATAGGCATGCTTAGAAACTGTATCAGTTGAAAAATTCTTCAAATATTTGTATTCTTGTGATTGAATGATATTGGTAGATTACATGCAAATACAGAGACGTCGTCATGACATGAATTCTAGTGAAACATTAACGCATACAAATTCAATGAAATGTTACAGTTATGAGACAAGACAACTAAAATTTGTTCGAAAGAACAGCGATAAATGGAAGTGATATCATGGTCATGTGTATTTTTGAGTGCAATACGAATGATTTCATGAGTCTGACGCATGCTCCTCGCTTCTCTGTTTTTATCGAATATAAATAAGCACATATATAAATGTTCAAATTATTCATTTAAAACTTTCGAACTGCACAAAATACAAATCTAAAAACCCATCCAAGCAATAATTACACAACCACTCAACTAAACTCCCATAGGACTGTTTGGTTCGATTACCGCCATCCGATTTTGTGATTCTTTCGTGCTTCTGTGAGTAATTCTCTTCGTTTCAACACAGAACGCTCAAGATTCCTTCCATTCATTCGAATTTAATGCCTCATTCCTCAGTTGATGCCTCTTCATCTTTTCTCACTTTTCAACGTTGTTTTTTTTTTCAAGCACTCTCCATTCCTTCAGATGATTCGACTTCAACACTCCTCATTGTCGTGCACACCAAGCACGACTACAAAACAATGTAATAATAATAATAACAATAC